AACTGTACAACCAATGGACAAAGCAGAGCTGTGACTAGACTAGGCAGAAACATTTAAAGTAATGTTACTGAACATAGTGATGATACCACTTCATAGATAATTTGTCAACTTACATGGACTTTGAATCTTCCTGTCTGAAAGAAACAGGCCAATCCATGGAATGGTTACTCCTCATGGACACACAGGTTGGTGAAGCAGGTTCTGCTCTTTCCTGCTCAATTCTGAAAGAAATGGAGAATTGACAAAAGACCTAAATAGATGGAGCTCAATGAGATGACTCATGAGTTTAAACAGTGTATCATGGTCAGGTGTGTGCAACTCTGACCTGACATGCACATGACCAGTCTGATTTCTGAGCAGTATAGTGTTTTAATATGCATTGTGAGAGCTTTACAGAAAGAGACAAAAGAACAAGAAAAGACCAAAACTGACAAAAATACATGTAAAAACATATACGAACTAGAAACCACTTCCTGCTCAGGAAATCGTCAGAGAAAGCAAATATTTAATATACTGTTTGGAATAAATGAGTGAATGTTCAGCCTCAAACTCTGAACCATGTACTGCTTCTTATTAAGACATACACTCAGTTGCCAGATTATTAAGTACTGTACGCCAGTCTAATCCAACAGTGCTCCAATAACTCCTCCTTCATGAGGATGATAATGTTTGGGTTTTTGTTTCAGGGGTGATGATTCACTATGATCATTTTGCAGGCTGTAGTTTGTGCTGCCCTTGAGCTGTATTTTCTTATAGTGACAGATATTTGAGTGTTTTTATTATTTTGTCCACCCTAATACTAAACTGCATTATATAATTATCTGCCTCAGACAAAATTTGCACTTTAAAATATTAAAATACTTTGTTTCAGAGGTTTGTTTGTCCTTTTAAAAACAGGAAGGTAATTTAAAGATTGCCTGCACTTCTTGGACCCAAAGATGGGTGCAGGAGAGTGGTTGTTAAATTAAATAGGTTGATTTACTAGAAGCTGAATGGTTTGAATCTAAGAGCCAAACAAATATGTGCAAGGATGTGAATGAGTAAGACGTCTCCTTCTCAAACGCTGGGCTTCAGCACAAACTGTTGTGAATCATGACTACAGTGATTTGACACTGAACCTCAACATGGACAGTCAGAGCTCTTCATCTTACCTCTCAGCTTCTGTCTGGCCATCCCGTTCCACAGACAGAGTGGTGCTGGGGGCCTGGACTCCTTTTCTCCCTCCATCTTTCTCTTCAGACTGACTCATAGTGGAATTCAGATCTTTACACAAACAGACCCAACAAGCTGTGGCAGCTGGACTGATTTACTGCAAGGTTCAGTTACTGGTGTTACCAAGAAGTTCTTCTTTACCTAGAAAAGGAATCAGAGGCAGAGAGCTGTTGTTTGGTTTTTCTTTAAGTCATTTGACCTGTCATCACAGCTACAACACATCAAAACATCAGCTGTTGGTAGAACCTATTAGGCACAGCAGAGGATGTACTTCCTGCTCCAGCTCAGGAAGTTCGACCTGCCCCAGGAGCTGCTGATACAGTTCTACAGAGGAATCACTGAGTCTGTTCTCTGCACTTCCATCACTGTCTGGTTTGGCTCAGCAACCAAACAGGACAAGTACAGACTTCAGCAAACAGTCAGGACTGCAGAAAAGGTCATTGGTGTGAGCCTGCCCTCCATGGAGGACCTGTACACCTCATGGCTCAAAAGGAGGGCGGAGAGGATCACTGCTGACCCCTCACAACCACGACACAATCTGTTTGAACTCTTCCCCTCTGGACGGCATTACAGGTCACTGTGCACCAAGACAACCAGAGACAGAGACAGTTTCTTCCCCCAGGCTGTCACTCTGACTTAACCAACAACAGTATGATTGGACAATAACCCTCAGTGCAATACCTGTGTATATATACACATTGTACAGATTATACAGACTCGTACAGGTCTCTAGTTCTTAAGAACTCTGTTTTATCCCTATTTTTCTCATTTCAATGAACATTCCTTTGTTGTCTGTATTGTTTACTGTCTATTTATACTGCTTTTTCTGCATTGTTTGCACTGTTTGTTGATGTTAATACAGCTATTTTGTTATATTACACAGCCTTATGCTGGTTTACTGTTTGCACATTGAGAGCCTATGTACCAGAGTCAAATTCCTCGTGTGTCCGTCACACCTGGCCAATAAAGCTGATTCTGATTCTGATAATCATGTGACATCTCACTAACAGTAGGGGGAGCTGTAGTTAATTGAAGACCAGTTTACAGGTTAATGCTGCCATTTGTCTCCATCTGGGATAAATCATCCAGAGCAGGCGTGGGCAGACTACGGCCCCTTAGGCTTTTTAATCCGGCCCGCCGAACTTGTCCAAATTATATTATTAAGTTATGTTATCATTAAACCTCTTTCGTTTTGCCTTTTTCCTGCAATGCCTGCGTTTCCCCAGTAGATGGTAGATCACTGCACCATTCACCAGGAATCTCTGTGTAAGTCTGTATTGTAACTTAATCATGTCGTGAATCCAGTCATAAGACTTGTTAACGTTATAGGAGCAAGGGGACTTCATTACGTTCCTGGAGGAAACTGATGCAGATCACCAGGACTTACTTTACCACTCTTGTCATGAAATTAACAAATTGTTGTGAAGACGTTAAATTCATTCGAAAGCTAATGAAGCATTTAACAACGATAACGCACAAACATCACTACAAAACGTCTCAGGAACAGTTTAGAAAGCAGCAGAGGAACAATAACAAAATGTGGCTGCTTTGCGCTAAATTTGTACCACTTGGCAAAACTGCGTCTACAGCTACACAGTTATTGTGTGGGGGAGAGACTCCGCGTTTTATATGCGAGATAATAACAGCGGTCCAACAACCATAACATTAAATAGCCTCGCTTATAAAGACCAACATATGGAATAGCCTATAGCCTAAGTATTAAACACTGTAAAATGTTTTATATTATTACCTTTTCCGTGCCCATACGTGTCTAATGAAGAAAACGGAAGTGAAAGCAAATTAGAGCACTGTGTTTCCGGTTTAACCGGCTGCACCTGCCTTTCTCACTTCCCTCACTCTGTTTTTGCTCCCTTACCTTGATTACGTTATCCGACACACCTGCTTCATATCCCCTGATTACCACCAGCTGCACCTGATTAGTTCTCCCTATTTATTCCCTGCTCTTCGTTCACTCCCCGGCCAGTTCTTTCTGTTAGATCTGCTCGGACACAGAGGTGAGCGAGTCAAAAATAAATAAATAAATAAATAAATAAATAAAAATAAGGACGGACTCAGGTGGCTGACTTCAGTGCAAGTAGTGCTCAGTTTATTTTTACAGTGATATCTTACAAGGAAGTAGTGATGAGTAGATGAGGCGTCATGAAGCGTTTCGAGACATTGCCAAACTGTACTGATACTGTGTCACCGAATCCTGACACCTGTTGGACCTTAAAAATCCCTACAGGCAACCTAGTTGACAGACTCAACTGACACTGATTTGATGACCTAGTATATACAATAATATAATTTAAGTCATTGTATTTTATATTGTATTATTTCATATCTTCATTTAAATTTAAAATTTCCT